AACAAAATTTTGATCTTGAATCTTGAATTTTGAATTTTGAATTTTTTTCCTTGATCCGATCCGTGATCCGATCCGTGATCCGATCCGTGATCCAATCCATGATCCGATCCGTGATCCGGTCCGATCCGATCCAGATTTTGTCGACGCCGCAAATTGAAAAGCTTACGTGTACAACTAGCGCGAGCAGATATTATTCATTACAGCACGAAATTGAAGTCTTGTTTACGACCCCGAAAAACTCACCTTTTCCATTGGCTCAGAGCATAAAACTACCTATAAGAGCCCTGGTTCTTATTCCCTGCCTTATTCCCTGCCATCGCTGTGAAAAATCCGCAAGAGAATCTCGCAACTCTCATCATTTGATCACGCAACGTGACAACATCCACGCGACAGCCCACGACATGTGCGTGGATCTGCGCAGATAGATACCCTCAGGGAGGCGCAATTTGTTCTTAAAATAGAATAATTGTCCCATATCATAGGTACGTGTGGATCCCAAGACTTATGGTCTCCGTCCCCGATTACTGTTCCTGCTGATATACATGTAAGTCATGAAGACGGATTATCAGATTACCTGGCAGTAGCTACAAGAGAATCTCCCCTATCTGTCAATGGCGTCAAAGGAGACGAGAGTCTTGAAGGACCTAGAGATAATGACTGGGGTACAGTGAAATCATCATCCCAGACAGGAGNGTCAATGGCGTCAAAGGAGACGAGAGTCTTGAAGAACCCAGAGGTAATGACTGGGGTACAGTGAAATCATCATCCCAGACAGGAGAGCTATCGCCATAAACTTCTTCCTCTAGCATGGAGAGAAATCTGAAACAGTAGAAGGACTATTTTTATGACCCAGGATCAAATGTGGTTAGCAGCCTTAGCTAGCCACAGTCTTTATAGACTGTTAAATGGCCATTTCAATAACTTTCTCTGTTTTCGAGACTTATTTGCAGCCCAAAATTTCTTCTTCTTCTTCTTGTAATAAGTTTTCTTGTGAGTGCGATAATTGTGAAGAACCATTGAAACTGAATGGTTAAGGACAGTCGGCAAGTCTCAAAATACCAGTTTATCTGATTCCTCAATTTTCTCTAGACACATGCAGCATAATGAGAATTAATTTTCCCCACATATAAAGGTAGGTATCAATAGAAACCATAATTAAATATCCAGGTGTAATTAACACCTCCTTTAGGAGATTGGATTATTAAAACTCTTTGCTCATTATAAAACATGCTGCACAAACCTTGGAAAGTGTGTCAAAACAATGGTTCTCTTATCTGGTGCCATTTTGTCTTTCTCTGCTCTAAACTTCTCTAATAGTTGTCGTCTCATCACAGGGAACACTGATCTTAAAAGTGCCCTTCCAAAAGCCACAGTAAGGTTATACTTCTGTAAACTGTCACAGAACATTGGAACTTGACAGAAACATATCCATCTGTGGAAACATATGAAGACAGCATACATAAATATACATGATTCATGATAAGCATTTCTAATCACTTACTGTGCCTTTCTTTAAATTTGTGCAATAGAAAATGCACAGTGATTTTAATCAGAATTTAAAAATTCTGTGTTGGTAAGAAATGAATAAAATCCTGTAGGGTGGCTGCAGGGCATTTTTTCAGTTATCAACATTTAAGGTGGCTGAACCTACCCTACAGATTTTTTCAAACTTTGTAAAAAGGTTGTATCAAAATTTGATAACTAAAAATTTATTTTACTGAGCCATCTTTGAATTATAAGCACTTAAAGCTAAATATCCTTGGTGTTTTTAACAGGTTGTATCACTGCTATGGTAACCTATCATGTCATGAAGATGATTACAATACAACTTGCTCACCAATGATCAATCACCAATGTTGTAACATCACTTGATAAAGTGTGGTTGTAATGATACAAATGTACATCAAAGTTAACTGCTCAAAAGTGCTGGAAATTGTCACCAGCCACATTAGAGCTAGCTGACACAGTTGGGATACCAGTGTAAACTCACCTTGTGTAATTGACTTTGTATGCTGCCAGGTCTTCACCCTGGGAGTGCTGTTTCTTCACAGTAGGCGTCTCCAGCTTCCAGTGATTCAAACAATGAAGAAACATCTTGGCTAGGTCATGCATTATTTGCCATTCTCTTTGTGGAAGGTGCAAAAACTTATATAGCACAAAGTTGAGGACAGCCTGGAGATTTCAAGATGAAAGAAGATGAGAAGCAGAAAATTTTTACTGGAATGCAACATTATTTAATGTTTAATAATACATGTATGTATAGTCTTCATCTACATCTACATAGATCTACACTTATTTAAGTCAGTAAAACCCGTGAGATATCACACTAACTGTAAAAATCTGAATAAAAATAATAGAATGGGATATTAAAAAAAACCTACAGAATACAATAATAATTATTTCTTGCAGCATGGATTCCATGTATGTAAACTTGTACAGGTAGGTATTTTCCAAACAGTAATTAAATCCTGGGTGGACTCCCGTATAAAAACGAGGGGGTGTTCGTTGGAAATTTTGAAAAGAACCCCTAAGAGATGCCAAGATCCTGTTTTGTGGGTGTGGCTCGAAATTTGTTTCACCCCTAA